AAAAAAAAAAAAAAAAAAAGAACGGAAACACCACGATCGAAACCAGCCTTCTCCTCGACCACCCTTTTCAACGACCTACCCCTACCGCGATCCTTTCTCTCTTTTCTTTTTCTTTTTTTCCCCTCTTTCTCTTTCTTTTGCGCGCGAACGAGGACGCGAACGAGGCGAACTGAGTCTTAGCGACGCGCAAACACACAAGCACGCACGCACGCACGCACACACACGCGCACAACCTCGACGATTCTTGTCTTCTTTCAACTCCGGAGGACGACACCACCGCGGTGTTCTCTCGGTTCCGTGCTCCCCCGTTCACTGACGCCTTCCTTCCGCCAGCCGGTCGACCACCACCGCCACCACCACCACTGCCGCTGCGCGATGCCACCCGTTCCCCCCTTCCTCCCCCCTCCCTGCGCGCCGCGTCGATCGAGATCAGGGCTGCTCGCTCCGCCATCGCCCAATCTCCGGTCAGGGGGTTGAAGTATTATTGGTTTGTTACCTTTCCAACCGCCTACCTTGAAACGATCCCAATTTTACGTGCACGATCGTGCGCACCCCCCTTCCAGTGATAGTGGTGATTTCTCGTGGTGCGTGCTCGTGAGGTGGAGTAGAGTTTCGTGGAGAGATTGGTCGTAGGATCGAAGGATTTAGATCGATACGGATACGATCGGGGGTGTGTTAATGTTTGATGACCTTTTAGGGGGTTGATTCCGGGATCGAAATGAAAAATAGAAATGTTGAATATGTGAAAATGTTGGTCGGTTATAAAGGTTATACGTTTGTCGAGCTTATGAGTTAAATCGAGGTTTAAATTGGACGGAATAAATTTATATTGTAAGTAGAGTGCGGATGTTTATCCATTATGTGTATTGTTTGTATGGAAATGTATAATCGATGATATTTGAAAAATTGTACAATCCACAGTCTACTTATATGTATATATGTATATATGTATATAGCTCGATAATTAAGAACTTATAACTTTTGATCGAAATGTATTCGATGACGATTATGAAAGAAGGTGCATTGACAGAAATCATTTGGCTCCGTTCGATGTCTCTGTAAAATAATACTACGATTGATGGAATATACGTTTTACTATTTCCATTTGAATAGGAACTCATTTATATTATATTAATTTTACATAATATAAAAAAATAAAAAAAGAAAAACATCTTTGCTAAATATAAATAAATTCCATCAAAATTAATAGAATGCTCGTCATAATGTTTTGTTACATGGATATATGTACGCGTGTTAATCGTGCGCATTTCATTAGCCTTAAAAAAATTCAATATAAAAGGATAAAAGTCTCGTTCCAATGTGGATAGAAATATTTCATTCTAATTTATTGTTCGTTAATTTATCGTTCGTAAATGTAAATTAATGCGAAGAATCATCGTCTCGTTCCGAAATCAAATACTCGTTTACCATTGCTTCTTGTAATACGTTCTGCACGATGGCTGAAAAAAAAAGAAAAAACGCGTTTCGTTATAATCTATTCCGCAGAAAAGTCGCGAAGGAAAATCGCGAACGACGCCCGTGATTCATTATCGATTACACAAACTGCGTAAAAAAAAATTAAACGAGAGATATTTTTACTCGATTTTTCCAGCTCGCGACAACAAAAAACGGAAATGTGGCGACACGTTTTATCTCGTCCCGAGTTCCGGTCCTCCACGATCTTTCTCGCATACGCATCTTATCGTTTTTACAATTTTACAAATTTTCCCATGACTATCGCTCGATTGTGCTTTAATATACCTAAACGCATCTTTTTTCTTCGATGCCTATAAATCACGAAACACGCTATCGTCACGACCGCCATTATTAAAACTATGATCGCTCCTAACATTCCGCTCTGCATCTTGAACGCTGCATCCGTTTCACCACGATAGCAAGAAGATTCTACTGGAATAGAAGAGGATCAGAATATTAATAAACATAACGTCTCGACGTCGAAATCTTTCGTGTAAAATCGATTCGCTCGAAATGCATACCTGTCTCGACGAAACAGCCAATCAATGAGTCGTCGATGGCGAAACAGTAACTCTCGTTGTTCGTCGTCCCGTTACATCGATAGCAGAGCGGCGCGTAACGTTTAGCATTCGTTAGCGTGTTATTCGTATCGTTACGAATCGTGATTCTGTAATAATAATCTTCTTTCAAAAGTCCGAGTTTCCTTCGAGCGTACGCCGATACGACATACTCACCCAATGAGATTTTCATCGTCGGGATTCATTACCAAGATACAGAGGGTGGATTGGTCGCATTCCGACCCCGTCCATCCGTAAGAACATTCGCACGTCTCGTCCTCCACGCAGACACTATAGCCTTTGCAAACCTTCGTGCACGTGGGCACGCGTTCCACGCACGTACTATCACTGTTATTTCCACTCGACTCGAAACCCTCGTGGCATACGCACTCGTTCGGAGCCACGCACTCCCCGTTTTCGCACCCCTTCTCGCAAGATGGCGCACAGCCGTATTCTTCCGTGCGGACGAAACCTTCCCAACATTGGCACACATTCGGCGCTACGCAGAAACCGTTGCGACAGGACACGCAGACGGGTTCGCAGAGATCGTCCGCACCCTTCGTGAACCCGTCGTTGCAAGTGCAAACATTGGGCTCTGTGCATGTGCCGTTCGCGCAATTTTGATCGCAAACAGGTTCACAGGCCGAGACGATCGTGTCGAGTACCTGCGTTCAAACGAATCAATTTAATCATTATTAATATTTAGAAACCAACGTGTAAAAAAAAAAAGAAAAAAAAATCGTTTGCGCTCACTTCGTTCTCCTTCGCGGTCATATCGATCATCCGATATCCTTGGATGCAGTTGCAAGTGTTGGGCGCTGCGCAATGGCCGCGAGGCTCGCAAGGAAGCTCGCAAACTGGCTCGCACACGTGCTTCATCGTGTCGTCTCCTGTCGTTCTGTAGCCATCGTGACACGTGCACATGTCGGGCGCCGTACACGTCCCGTTCACGCAAGCTTTCTCGCACACCGCTTCGCACACGTACCTGGAATCATCCGGTAACCCGTATCCAGAGTTACAGCTGCAAACATCCGGTGCGATACAAGTACCCATCACGCACGGTTCGGTACAGTTCGGCTCGCATTCCCCGTTCTCGTTTAACTGGTAACCTGAGTCGCAGGTACATACGTTAGGCGCCGTACATGCCCCATGCAGGCAAATTCGCTCGCACTTGGGCTTGCAAGCGCACGGCTCGATATCTTTTTCCATCACGTAACCGTGGTTGCACGTGCAAACGCTCGGCTTGGTGCATTTTCCATTCACGCACGGTTCGGTACAGTTCGGCTCGCATTCCCCGTTCTCGTTTAACTGGTAACCTGAGTCGCAGGTACATACGTTAGGCGCCGTACATGCCCCATGCAGGCAAATTCGCTCGCACTTGGGCTTGCAAGCGCACGGCTCGATATCTTTTTCCATCACGTAACCGTGGTTGCACGTGCAAACGCTCGGCTTGGTGCATTTTCCATTCACGCACGGTTCGGTACAGTTCGGCTCGCATTCCCCGTTCTCGTTTAACTGGTAACCTGAGTCGCAGGTACATACGTTAGGCGCCGTACATGCCCCATGCAGGCAAATTCGCTCGCACTTGGGCTTGCAAGCGCACGGCTCGATATCTTTTTCCATCACGTAACCGTGGTTGCACGTGCAAACGTTCGGCTTGGTGCATTTTCCATTCATGCACGGTATTTCGCAGATCGGCGTGCACGATGGTAAGTCGGTATCGGTGTCGCTCTGTCGATAACCCAAATTGCAGGTACAGCGGTTCGGTTCCGTGCAGCGCGCGTTGTATTTCGCACAATTTTGCGCGCAAACCGGCAGACAGTATAATTTGTCTTCGGTCAATTCGTAGCCGGCGTTGCACGAGCATTGATTCGGTCTCGCGCAAAAGCCGTTCGTGCAATTGCTCTCGCACAGGGGCTTGCACGCGTGTTGCGTTTGTCCAATAGGCGAATATCCGTTGTCGCATTCGCACGAGTTTGGTCTCGTGCACCTTCCGTTCACGCATTCGGGGTTGCATATCGGTTCACAAACGTCACCTCGATCCTCGTAACCGTTGCAACATCTCGTCTGATAATGCCATACGCGGGCTTGCTGGAAATCGAGAATAATTCGCGTGAATAATATTGACGAGAGACGACTGGAAAGTAACGCAATCTGAAAATGAAGACATTCTCGCGAAAATTAGAATATAAACGTAAAGTAGCATCGTTCAAAGTTAAAGTATATGTAAAGAAGTGAAATTTTTGCCGATTGATTTCGATCCCTAAAAGGTATTTCTCGTCGATAAAAGAAATATTTTATACGTAATTTTTTTACACGCATTTAAATTTTCGTTAAAATCAGAATTATTCTATTCTATAGAATAGAATTATTTATCATTACTCGTGCAAAGATCTTCGTAACATTAAGATTTTTTTTTAAATAAAAATTATAAAATTCCTTCAAACATAAAAATTGCGTCATTCTGTTTCTTTGGTTTCTAACGTTCACGATCTCCTCTCTCTTACATCGATCCTGTAATTGGTTCGAGTCTTCGTTTGATGGAAGAGACCCCATTTCCTGACCTTGTACGTTTCCGTGTAGGGCACGTATCTTGATTCCATGCGACTGAAAAATTATCGCTCGTAATTTGTACACGCGTCAAACGCATATCACATAAGTTTATAGCACGTGCAATAAATACCTGATTTGCACGGTGCACAACGATCCATCTTCACCGGTCAGAAATAATGCCGTCGTGACGAGGTTCAAAAAGACGACGCAGCCTAGGCATCTCATATTTTCAATCCGTCCTTTAGCACAAGCGATTCAGTAACTGCAACTGATACGCTTACGAGTTTACATTATATCAATTATCTGTCTCATTCCAGCTTGTATTCCAGCGTTATCGATACGAGACAGGATGCTTGCGATATCATAGCATATTATCGTATTCTATTCGAAAGAAAATTTGCATTCGTCGATTAGATCGAATCCGGAAGTGACAAGTATTATTCAATACAGCTACTCTTTTTTTTTTTTTCTCTTTTGTACAATTTTTTTTATTGATTACAATAATTTAATCTATAAATTACAAACGTGTGATGAACGAGAACTCGTCTTTCAACTGTTGTTCTCCTCGGCTCGATTCTGCATCTGCATCGATGTTGGCGTATTATCTGCATTTTATAAAATTTATAAAATTCCATAGCTACGTTTATTACGTGTAATCTAATCAATTACCTAGAGAAAATTTCCTCTTTCTCACGTTTCGCGTCAGCGAATAGATCACGATGGCGCTACCGATTATAACCATAGCGGTACCCATAGCGATCCCACCTATCATTACTTGATTCGAGAGCAACGCGTAGACTCGACTGCAATTAGAATCTATAAAAACAGATAGATATAATCGTGAGCAGCGTATCGAGAATTTACTACTCGAATCGAATTTCTTTATACTCGTTCGTATATACCGATCAGACAGGCGATCGTATCGTTCCCCATGCCATCCTTCCTATATTTTCCATTGCACAAGGTTTCGTTCTTCAAACAATCGTGATAACACGATGGACTGTTCGCGAACACGTAATCAATCGTATCGTTGGCATCGTACTCTATGTTCCATCTGAAAAGAAAATAAATAAATAAATTCGAGAAAACCGCATCCCAGCATGGATCAACAAAATATTTAAATACTTCGATATTTACACGTTCAACCGTTCTATCCCATTCTCCATCACGAACACGCAAAATCTTGGCTCCTCGCAATGCGTCCCATCCCACCCGTAGAAACAATCGCAAGTTCTGTTCTCGATATCACAGATCCCACGATCGTTGCAGTTGTCTCGACACGCGAGAACGCACTCGCCGTTATCCTCCTTCACGAAGCCGACGTTGCACAGGCAGTCGCCAGGTGCCACGCAGCTTCCATTCGAGCAATTCTCGCAATACGGCTCGCAGACGGTTCCATTCCCTCGTCTCGCTTCGACGAAACCTTGGTCGCACTCGCACACCCCGGGTCTCGCGCACGTTCCGTTGTCGCAAGACTCGCACAACGCGAGATCGCACCGAGCTTGCCCGTCCCTTTTCGCGTAGCCCGCGTAACAGGTGCACGCGTTCGGGGACGCGCAGGTACCGTTTCCGCAGTCGAATTCGCACACGGGCTCGCAAACGTTGGATAAAGTCTCGTTCCAGTCCGTCGCCCGCTTGTAACCCAGCTCGCATTCGCACGTGTCGGGCGCAACGCAGATCCCATTCTCACCGCACGATTGCTCGCACACGGGCTCGCAAACCTTGCTACCATTGCCCTCGGATGGACCGTAACCTTCGTAGCAAGTGCATTCATCCGGCGCGCTGCAGTATCCGTTTACGCAAGGCTGTTCGCAAACAGGTTGACAAATATTCGAGCCGATTTCTAACAATCGATAACCTACATCACACTTGCATTCGTGCGGACGAATGCAATATCCATTGGTGCAATTAGGCTCGCAGATCGGCTCGCAAACCTTGCTACCATTGCCNGCATTCGTGCGGACGAATGCAATATCCATTGGTGCAATTCGGCTCGCAAATCGGCTCGCAAACCTTGCTACCATTGCCCTCGGATGGACCGTAACCTTCGTCGCAAGTGCATTCATCCGGCGCGCTGCAGTATCCGTTCACCCAACGCCCTTCGCAAACAGGTTGGCAAATATTCGAGCCGACTTCCAACGATCGATAACCGACATCACACTTGCATTCGGACGGGCGAATGGAATATCCATTGGGGCAATTCGGCTCGGAGGTCGGCGCGCAAATCGGCTCGCAAAGTCCGCTACCATTGCCCTCGGGTGGGCCGTAACCTTCGGCGCAAGTGCATTCATTAAGCGCGCTGCAGTATCCGTTCACCCAACGCCCTTCGCAAACAGGTTGGCAAATATTCGAGCCGACTTCCAACGATCGATAACCGACATCACACTTGCATTCGGACGGGCGAATGGAATATCCATTGGGGCAATTCGGCTCGGAGGTCGGCGCGCAAATCGGCTCGCAAAGTCCGCTACCATTGCCCTCGGGTGGGCCGTAACCTTCGGCGCAAGTGCATTCATTAAGCGCGCTGCAGTATCCGTTCACCCAACGCCCTTCGCAAACAGGTTGGCAAATATTCGAGCCGACTTCCAACGATCGATAACCGACATCACACTTGCATTCGGACGGGCGAATGGAATATCCATTGGGGCAATTCGGCTCGGAGGTCGGCGCGCAAATCGGCTCGCAAAGTCCGCTACCATTGCCCTCGGGTGGGCCGTAACCTTCGGCGCAAGTGCATTCATTAAGCGCGCTGCAGTATCCGTTCACCCAACGCCCTTCGCAAACAGGTTGGCAAATATTCGAGCCGACTTCCAACGATCGATAACCGACATCACACTTGCATTCGGACGGGCGAATGGAATATCCATTGGGGCAATTCGGCTCGGAGGTCGGCGCGCAAATCGGCTCGCAAAGTCCGCTACCATTGCCCTCGGGTGGGCCGTAACCTTCGGCGCAAGTGCATTCATTAAGCGCGCTGCAGTATCCGTTCACCCAACGCCCTTCGCAAACAGGTTGGCAAATATTCGAGCCGACTTCCAACGATCGATAACCGACAGCGCCCTTGCACTCGTGCGGACGAATGCAACGCCCGTTGATGCAATTCGGTTCGCAGATGGGCTCGCAAATATCGGTGTTATTGTTTAGCGGTTGATAGCCCGTTTGACACTCGCATTTGTTCGGCTTGCTGCAGTATCCGTTCACGCAGGTTTGTTTGCACACCGGTGCACACACGTGGTAATCGTGTTCGGATAATTCGTAGCCGGGATCGCAGCTACAGACCCCTGGAGCGTCGCAATACCCGTTCACGCAGCCTTTGTCGCACACGGGCTCGCACACCGTCGCGTTTTTTGCCGAGTATCCATCGTAGCAAGTACACGTGCCAGGCGCGGTGCAAGTTCCGAAGCGGCATCCCTGGTTGCAGGTCGGGTCGCAAGTGAAGGGATCGTTCGGGTTTGGGTGGTGGCCATCGTCGCAGGTGCACTGGTTGGGAGCGGTGCAGCGGCCGTTGTTGCAAGGCCGTTCGCAGAACGGTTCGCAGAGATCGGACGCGCCTTTTAAAAATCGATAGCCCGGGTTGCATTCGCAGGTATTCGGGGCACTGCAATACCCGTTTATGCACTCGTGCTCGCAGATGGGCCGGCAGATGGTCGTGGTGAGGTTGGTCGTGGAGTGTTCGTAGCCTGGATCGCAGCTGCATACCTCCGGCGCGCTGCAGTATCCGTTCACGCAAGTTCGCTCGCAGATAGGCTTGCACTTTGATCGATGAGGAAGAATAAAGAGATTTAGAAAATAAAAATTTTCTTTCTCGAATCGAAATTGGATCTCTCGGTGAGTGTTTCAAGTATTCTTTTTTTACGAAATATTCACAAGGAAGGACTCGAATTTTAATCTTCCAGGTTTCACGGTTTATTGAAAAGCGTACTTACCTTCTGGCTCCCGTTAACGAGACGATAACCCTTGTAACAAGTGCAGATATTAGGGGCAGTGCATTTTCCGTACGGCTCGCAAGATTGCTCGCAGTGTGGGACGCAAACGTGTTGCTTCGTGTAATCCTGTTGTATGTAACCGTTGTGACAAGTGCATATGCCAGGCTTCGTACATTTCCCGTTCACGCATTTCAACACGCAGATTGGCTCGCATTGCTGTTGGAATCGTTCAAATTGAAAGAAATGAGAAAAAGAATAAGAAATTTGCCCGAAGAATTTTTCGACAGAAACTGATATATTCGTATTAATGAAATTGTGATTAATATTGCTAAAATGTTTCGAACGATCGAGTGTCTCGTCTCTTAAATTTATTGTTAATTGTTACGAGTAATTGACGAAGTCAGAAGAGTTCTCGTTTCGAATATATTAACACCCTGACGTATTTAAACCAATGTTGATATATCTATCGTGCTGCTAACACGTTGAGAGGCAATAATTGTGAATTGTCAATTACGTATTATTATAACAAAAGTAACTAAAATTTAATTCCACGAAGAAAAAAATATATAAAAAGTATAACTAATTTATTCTTTGTAATAATGGCACACATTATACGCAACTACGAAATTCTCTCTCTCTCAACGAACTTGTTTAATTTACTTCTGCGTCACGTTGTTTAAATTGTAATTTCTGTTAAAGTGCATTTGTAACTAACGTAGAATCAATATTCTACAATACATACATGGTTAATTCTCTGATAACCGATATAGCAGGTGCACGTGCCCGGCGAGGAGCAATAAGCGTGTTGCTTTTCGCAGTTTTCGGTACACACTGGCTTGCAGATATTGTTCTTGTCCATTTGATACCCGAAATCGCATTGGCATACGCCTGGCGCCACGCATTTTCCGTTGACACAATTCTTGCAATACGGCAAACATTCGTTCTCCGTGTGTTTCACGTATCCTTGGTTGCATTCGCAATAATTATTCGGCAGGCATTGGCTATTCAGGCAAGATGGGGTGCAAACAGGTACGCAAACATTTTCCTTAAGTACGTATCCCTCGCAGCAGTGGACGTCGATGCGGTAGGTGCTATAATACTGCGTAGAGAAAAATTCAATCGAATCGATTTTGCCTCATTCTCGCGGTTGGAAAATTTTACCAACGAAGAGAATTTTTACCTCCTTGCGGTAATTCCAACGATATTTTGTCTCGTAGAAAATCCCCCATTTACTGACTCTGTACGACTGCTTGTACGGGACGTCTCGCGTCGCTATGAAACTACGAGAAGAGATTCGATCGATCGATTTTCTTCGGGCAAAATGGATCAATTTATCCGACAACATACCTGACTCTTTGCGTACAAATACCTTGGCTCTTGTCTGGGAAGAGTATCGTCCCGGTTACTTTGAAAATAACGGGGAGAAAAAGTACAACTTGGAGAAATGCGAGATGCATGTCGAGCCGTTTCTCAGTATTCACTGGCGCCATGGTGTCATATGACGCGTATAATCGTGTCCTGCGACATGATAGAAACAAAACAGGATGTCCAGCGATATCGCTTCCCTAATAATCACTGGGAATTCTTAAAATAATACGCGCATCGCGCTGTTTCCGTAATAAGTATATGCTCTCTTTATTTACCAATCACAATCGTGTACGTGTACAAAGATAAAAAGGACGCTACGATCAAAGCTGTGATCCAACAACCGTTTCGAATTTTCCCTTATACATCAATTATGGCACGCGCATACGTTATTCGCAATCGTACGATGCATATATCTTACTCGTGCTCCGATAAGGAGCCGTACAACGAAGAAGAAGAAGAAGAAAAAAAAGTAGAGAGGAAGAAAATAATAGTATCGTTATCAACTCAATAAGCGGGGACGCATCTTTGTCTGCCCTTGACTCCAGTCTCTTTCGCGAAACCAGGGTTACAGATGCACAGGTTGGGGGCCGTGCAGACGCCATTGTGACATCCACCCAGGCACACGGGCACGCATCTCGACCTCGTCACATCCGAGGGGCTGATAACGTAACCGCGCTTACACGTGCATTGATTCAAACCGGTGCACTCCCCGTTCAGACACGGGAACTCGCAGAAAGGCTCTCCCGACGAGGAGACACATTTACCGGTGTTGGAATCGAGCACGAATCCCTGGTCGCAAGCGCAACGATCGGGGCCAACGCAGACACCGTTCGGCCCGCAGCCGTGCTGGCATTCGGCCCGATCTCGATTCGAATTTGCCGTCTGACTTCTCGATTCCGGGCACCTGCCCGTCACAGGATCGACGGCCATCCCGTAATCGCAGATGCACATGTCGGGGCCGACGCAGAGCCCATGAGCGCCGCACCCGTTCCTGCACTGGAACGAGTTGGAGAACGGGACGCACCTCTTGGTGTCCGGATCNCTTGAATCCCAGATCGCAGGTGCACTGGTTGGGGCCGACGCAGTGCGCGTTCGGGCCGCAGTCCAATTGACAATCCGTGGCCGCACCGACCCCCGCCTTCTTCGCGCATCCGCCGCTTGGATCGCGCGAGTAGCCGACGTCGCAGTTGCACACTCCGGGGGCAACGCATTCGCCGTTCGTGCATCCTTGGGGACAATCCGGCACGCAGTTGTTGTTGGCGTCCAGAGTGTAGCCCGGATTGCAATCGCAAAAGTCCGGCTCAACGCATTTCCCGTTCGCGCAACCTCGGGAACATCTTGGCACGCAGCTTTTGCTCGCGTCTACGGTGTAACCTGGCTTGCAGGCGCAGGCACCGGGCGCAACGCAGTCCCCGCTCACGCAGCCCAGGGGGCATTCCGGCGCGCACTTGTTCGAGACGGGGTCGAGGGCGAAGCCTGGGTTGCACTTGCAGACCCCGGGCGAGACGCATTCGCCGTTGGCGCAACCTCCACGGCATTCCGGCACGCATTTGTTGACGGGATCGAGGGCGAAGCCTGGCTCGCACTTGCAGACCCCGGGCGAGACGCATTCGCCGTTAACGCAACCTCGAGGGCACTCCGGGACGCATGCGTTGCTTCCGTTGAGAACGTGATTCGGCTCGCATTGGCAAACGCCGGGGGCGATGCATTTGCCATTGACGCAGCCCGCGGGACAATCGGGGGCGCAGTATTCGGGGTCATTTGGAGGATTGACGAATCTGAAAGAAAGAGTAAACACGGATCATGCATCAGGAAGAAATTCATCTCGAGCGTGGATCATCGATTGCGCCGTCGATTTACCCTTCGCGACAAGTGCACACCCCAGGAGCCGTGCATTCTCCGTTGCGGCAACCGTTCTCGCACACCGGCACGCATTTAGCGTTCGTTCCCTCCATCCCTGGCTCGAGTTGGTATCCGGCTCCGCATTTGCACACGTAGGGCGCCACGCATTCGCCGTTCACGCATCCATGAGGGCAGATGGGCTTACACTCGCCGTTCACCTCCTCGTAGCCCAACATGCAAGCGCACACGTTCGGCGAGAAGCAGTAGGCGTACTTCTGGCAAGCTTGCTCGCAGTAAGGCCCGCAAACACCCTTCTGAGCGACCCATCCTGGCGAACAGCTGCACACGTTCGGCCCTGTGCAATTTCCGCCCAGGCATCCCTCGGTGCAGATCGGGTCGCAGGCACCGGAGCTAAGGTTGCGCTCGTAGCCGTCGCAACAATCCAAAATCGTTATCCATCCACCTTTCTGTTAACAAGAGAAAGAAAAAATGGAAAAGAGATGAGAAATTATTTTTCTTATCACGCTCGCACGTAAGTAATTAAGATCTATCGAATTATATTCTGCATCCTTGTCTCAATAATAGTACGATATATGTATAAATCATATAATGTATTTACCGTGCCTTCCTGAGAAGTCATTGGAAGAGTGTTATGAAGGAACTGACCTGTGGCGTTCAATTTGACAGCATCTTGATAACTGAAAAGGAAAAAAAAGACGATGAATTCGCATCCGTTTGGAAGAAACAACATCCCAATTTTCGAAATTTTCCGTATATTCACCGTATTCTCTTGTAGCAAAGTCCTTGCGCCATCGTGCTGTTCACGGCGACCTGGGATCGATCATATTGGGCACGGTGACGGCCACCTTTCACACCTTCGATCGCCAAGGTATCGGATATCAACAGCGCCGAAATAATATAAAAGCAGGCGTGCAACATTTTCGACATGTTGAATGCACGAGTATCGGTGATTTACTGGTTTCTTATTTTCCATGCGCGCAGGATTACATCTCTCTTCCGATAACATTAACCGCGGCGGGGTCACCGTCTTTTTTTTTCGTTCGATTACGTAGCTCTTCTTTCCATGGAAGCGATTATTAGTACAAGTAACACACCAACGTACGGACAATTTTTCGCTGTATCCCTCTCTCCTTCCCTCCGTCTCATTCAGATTCTCGAGAGAAGATAATGGAATTAAATTTCAATCGCGTATCAACTCGATAACTCTCCCATTTTTTTTTTTATTGCGTTCAAACACGATAACATTTCCGGACTTTCATTTCATTCAATTAATTCGTAGAAATTGATATATATATATATATTTTACTTTGATTACGGAAACGTTTCCATGGATCGAAACGTTGCTCGAGAAAATAAAGATTTTAATCGTTTAACATTTGGAGAGGATGGTTTTTTTTTTTCTTTTCTTATAGCTAGTACAGTTTTAGCCAAACAATCAGCGAAAATATATCGCGTATTACCGATTTATGTAACCCATCGATACCCGTTGCTCCATAGAGGATGCAGCGTAATGCACGGACGAGATAAAGCGAGAGAGCGGGATGGCACGATGCTTGCTGTCTCTGTCCTGTTTTCAAAGTACGATAAAACTGGCCGTTTTGACTCGCGAATAACGATAACGAATTCGAAAACGGTTCACGAGTGGAGGAGCGAGAAAAATTTCGGCAAGTTTAACAAAAATCGTCGAAAATAGGACGGTTTATATATATATATACGGAATAACGATTATTGTTATTGTTTATCGTGGAGGAGCAAAGAATTATCGGCGAAATAGACGAATTGATATAAACATTTTAATTGCGCAAAATCTTAATTACGTCTTATCTATTTGAATTTTTCTTTTCTTTTTTTTCCCCTCGAATGTTAAGACGCATGACACAAATTCGTAACGAATCTATTATTACAAGTGATGTCAATTTATAAATAAAGACGTAAATAGTATCGAAGCGTTGGTTAAAAACATTGAATCTTAAAGCTATGTGTCTCTTTGGTGTCTCAAACTCGAAATCTTTGGCTCGTTTAACCTGTTAACCGAGCTATTTTTTACTCAATTTTTCTTTTAATAAGAATCAAATAAATATAAAAATGATACGATCTACATTCGATAAAAATTATACAGTATTACTTAAGTCAACTCCTCTTTCTCGGTTAAAACTATCGTTAGAAAAATCTATTTCTATGATTAGCCTATCTATAATAATTTATCCTCAATTATTATTTATATTTACATATCGACACGCTGTTTTAAAATGCGAAATACATTTGAAAATAAAACTTTCAAAAATTGCTTTCGAGAGTTTCACTTCTCTCAAAACGTTTCCTTTCCATAAACGAGAAATTAAATAATTTCGTATATCTTCAACACGCGTTCAAATACGAGTGAACTGAACTAAACGCTAGATTTATCAGCGTTGAAATTCAATATATTCGCTTTCTCCACTTACTATTTCCAAGTAAATCATTATAAGCAGTCAAACGCTCAAACACTTTGTCCAACCTGCGATATTTCTCGTGGTTGAGACGTGGAGTCCAGAAGGTTGGATAGTCGCTGTTTGACGCGCAAGTTCGAGGAAAAATACACGCCCCGAATGCGAATAGTTTAATCGGTGTTGGGAATGGTGTTGGTACTTTTCTGCCTGTTCGAGGACTGATTGTAGTCACGTTCAGCCTTGCACACTTGACGAGCATGCGTAAGGTCGGAAACCAGTCCAGTTAGATTTTTCCTCGCCTCATAGACGAGCTGGCTCGCTCACATCCGCCTCTGGAATCGAGCGTGACTCTTGAACAATGGCACGCAAACGCTGATACGATAGTCTTGCTCGATTTTTTTTTGAGAGAGAGAGAGAAGATATTTCACAAATCTTCGTTAATCGAGTTCTTGGTCATTCGTATTTTTTTGTTTTTTTTTTTTTTAATCAACGACCATGAGTTGATAAACTCGTGTCTTTTCTAATTTTAATTGGAACAGTAATTTAATTAAATCTTTCTGTAATTGAAACGATTATAATCTTGAAACTCGTCAAGTTTTTTAATCCCTCGATATCGGCGTGTATTAAAAACTTCTCGATTGAAATATGATCATTAGCTAGACGCGTTGAGCTTCTTTCGTACCGAGTCTAGCTTATTTGTTGGACGATTTGCTATTCGATCAGACGTTTCTACGGGAGCTCAAAGGGCTCGATTGCAAGGGAATTTCATCGTAGACGTGCTCAGTATTAGCATCGAATTCGCTTTGCAAGTGTATCCTTGTTGCTGGCGGCCGGTCGTAATGATCCTCCTGAAAGAAACCTGAAAAAAATACCAGAAGAAAATCATAGGTGAGAAGAAAATTCATCATCTTAAAAGAAAAAAAAAAAGTAAAAGAAAAAAGAATCTGTAAAAATGATTAATTTCAAAAATATGAACACGCTGAATGCGCTTACCATGCAAATTACCGGATAATCTGAGACCAATCGTGGCTGCTCCATTAGCATAATTAGGATCGTTATCTATTGGTATCGTTCTGGTCTCTGGAGTGGAGGCAAACAGAGGTACCAAACGAATTGGAGTTTCTGAAAATTGTTACCATTTTTTTTTTTTTTTCCGAAAAACATTGATTTGTAATTGTTTTTCCAATGTAATTACATCGTTACAATATCGTAAATCAGAAATCAGAAGCGGCCTTCGAGAAAAAGTGAAAATGCCGTTACCGTTCTAATTTTCCACGAATAATCCACGCTTGGACTGTCTTATTTCAAGATGGACATCGAGGTATGGTATTACGTGTACGAGATTGAGGTCAAGGACAGATTTCACTGAGGCGAGAAAGGAGCATCGTGTATACTCACGAGGAAGAGTACCGGTAACTATCGACGAGATTTTAGCCGCGTTCGGATTCTCTTGACTCTTTGTCTTCGCTTCCTCGTAGATCGACATTCTAGCTGCTTCCAGAAGCTTGGAACGCATGTGGAGAACCATGACCACCGCTACCGAGGTCAGACCCAACGATACGATCGAGGCTACCACGATCAGGGCGATGTCCAGGGGAATCGGAGTTGATTGAACGTCTGCTCGAACATTTTCAATGTTAGATCAGCGTTTTTCAATCTCCTCTCATTCATACCCTACTCTTTCCTCCGATATAATAATTAATCGAGTTTTGAAAAAAATTAAGGAATATCCGTTTAATTAGTTTTTATGTTCGGAGATATTTTTCTTAAACTTAGATTTAATATACCTTTGTGAATATTTTTGACGTAATCGTTCTTGGATGAACCTAAGTCTTGCAAATTGTCATCCATGCGCCTCACGAACGGATTCTTAACCGCGAATTCTCCTCGGCCTTTGTCCAAGTTCCTTCTCCGCTCCGGAATGGAAACCCAAACGATGACAGGCTTCACTGTGCTCGAGTTTCCATCCTCACGAGTCTGCGTCCTAATTTTCCTCTGATCCGTGCTCGAGACGCTCGCGCTTTCAGGTACTTTCGAGGTTGCTTTGCCAGGATTATCCGTCGTGGCGGCTATCTCGTGATCATCTTCCAACAATTATCATCAAATAATAAAAATTTTCATTGCGTAAATTACACGTACGTCTTTCGGCATCTTTTCATTTCAAGGAATGGACGTTTGCTCGGCGATGCATTATGTATTCAGACGCATGACTTTCGACCAACAGTTGCATCACGCGAATAAATATCACGCCTTTACACGTATCCTCTTAATTCTTTTCTTTTTCTTACCTTCCGTCGTGGTATCCCAAATCCGCGATGTATCTGTGATGCCCACATGGGAACTCGTGAAATTCGCATTCACGCTGTTTTCCTCGTCCCTGTCACGAGGATGGCTCGTGTTCTCCATCTTGTTATCGTCGATGCATCGACCCGTTTCTGGATGACACCCGTTCCTCGAATCCTTGCAGTTGCATGGAAACGCGCATCCCGGCCCCCAGTGATCGCCAGGACACGACTCATTGCATCTGAGAATGGTAATTATTACGTATGTCACGCGAGGGAAATGCGTGTCGCCGGTATAATAGCGATTATGGGTTATTAGACGAGTTTCGATCAACAGGTTGAATCGTGTGTTTATGCAATTTTAAGAATAAATACGACGCGTGGAAATCAATGGAACTTGTTGAACGAACTAAGCAGCTTTCTTTTTTTAACACGTTCCACGACGCGTGGATATTTATTTCTGAACTTTTCATTTGAACTAAATTCGAAATTTTCTTTTTAAATAGTATCAAATTATCGTTGGAACGATAATTTAATTTTATTTGAGAAGTAACAAAGTAATTGTTGTTCTAATTGGGTGTTAGTAGTTAATGGTTACGTGGCGCTAGTGTCGCATTTTGGAGTCCTGAAATAATTAATTTATTATATAAAATTCTAATCGTATTTCAAGAGGAATTTTGTCGAATCCCTTCAATTCATAATTACATTCAAAATTGTCTCGAAAATTCGAATTCTCGATTTTTTTATCTATCACAAGATACTTTTGGATTTCTCGTATATCTCAAGTTATTCCAATTACACCTTAATCACAAGAATTCTGTATGTATTTCTTTAAGAATCGTTAATCGTGTAAATGATTGCCATTTACAACGTAATAATAATTGGAGCAATAACAGTAATTGGAACGGCAATTATCGAGAAGCATTATTATCTAATTAAAACAACATCGTTCTTTTAACCCAGATTTCATTGCGTTGCCTCAAAGAGAGAGAGATCTACGATACGATGTATTATATTTACAGATGAAAAACTTACATTTGTCCACGCAATCCTGGCGGACAGATGCAGTGTCCACTTACGGGATTGCAAGGTACGTCCTCGGTGCAATTGCATTTCTCCTTGCACTGGATGCCCCATGTGCCTCGTGGACATACTGCGGATAAAATAGAATGTATTGCTTTATAAATCGTACCGTTATTACCCATTAAAACCATTAAGCTTGTATTTTCCTCATTTTTTTTCTTTATACGATAATAGTGGCGCAATTACGAGCGTGCACCTGATCGTTACTTTTCCGTTTTCTCGAGAAACTCCGACACGAACGCGATGTTAAAGCGGGAAAGAGAGCGGGAAAACACGGTCGAATATCGATTTCAG